ATCAATTTAACTTATTTCTCATTTCATAATAATAAGTTATAATAATAACTGTAATGACAATAGTAATAACGATATTAACTAGTAAAAATAATTATAATTATCAGAGCGATAATAACAATAACAATAACAATAATAATAATAATAATAATAATAATAATAATAATAATAATAATAATAATAATAATAATAGCAATACTATTATATTATATCATATAATATTAATAGCAATTTTTAAATATACATAAGTAAAATATATTAAAGATCTAAAGACTGGATGTCGTTCATGTAAATAGCCAGCATTGACATGAATCACGTGATTAATAAAATAGAAAATTCAACAACTAAGAATTCGACTGGTTATCATAAATTAATTGTCATGATTTATATATAGTTTTAATTCCTTAATAATTCTCCCATTCTACAGTGCAACATTCTAAGAAACGATAGTTTTTTTGTAAACTTTTTTTTTATAAATAATGTTAATAAATATTAATGTGGATACCAGCTCCAGTGATAACTATGTAACTATAGATTTATTGAAAAAAAAAATAAATCCATAAAGAAAATATCTAACTAAAGATGGTATTTTGTAGCAAGTATAAACACGACATTCTACAGAAAAGGCAGGCAACGAAAACGAATATAACAAAGAGGTAAGAAAAAAAATCCAAAATAGGTACAACAAGAAAATATGGAAGAAACAAAAAAAGATATCTTTTAAGTTTCAGGTCCAAATGCTTTTCGATTCCCTCGCCGTGGGAGCGCCAGACGCCGACGCAGCAGCTTGGTCTCTCCAGTCTGAGAGGGAGTCCATCGTGGACTCGAAACGAAAGGGATATTTTTTTTTCTTCTCTTTTCGTCTCGTTGTGTCTGTGTTTCAGTTCACAGATTTGTTTAATATGGCAACGGTACAACAAATAGCTCTCGGCGCGCTTCTCCCGCCTCTCATGTCTCCTTTCCCTGCGCCGAAGAAGCCCGCCCACGGAGGGGCGAGCCCGCGAGCCCTCGCCCTGCGCGGGGCATCGGCCGCCGCCCTCTAGGTCTCGGGCGCGGTCCTCGGCACCCTGGACAGCGGCAGCGGCTGCGAGTTCGAGTAGCGGGCGTGGGCGTGGGCTGAGATGTTGTAGTAGTAGTGGGGCGTGGCCGCGTCGACGGTCCCCAGGGTCGACACCTCCGGCGCCTCCGTCGGGGGCATGGGCTGGGCGTGGGGAGGGGGCGGGGGGAGGAGGCCACGGCTGGGAGGGGGGATGTGGGACTGGGGGCGAGGGGGGAGGCGGGGACGACGCTGCGGGGGGATGTTCACCAGGACCCGAGGGGCGTCCTCCTCCTCCTCCTCCTCCTCCTCCTCCTCCTCTTCCTCCTCCTCCTCTTCCTCCTCTTCTCCGTAGATCTCTTTATCTTCTAACTCTTCCTCCTCTTCGTAGGAAAAGTCGTCATCGTCGTCCTATGGAAAGGGAAGCAAAGCAATCAGTTATTTCCTCTCCGCATACAGTAGCAATACATAAAGTGTAATACACGTCAACAGAATTCTGTAAACTGTACAATGAAATTTACGAGTTGCACTGTACATTGATTTAATCACTCTTTATCTTTAAGACACAACAGCATCCGCCACAACAATTACAAGAAAACAACAACAACAATAATTAGAGATAACAGAAAACAAAACATTTTTTTAACCCTAACAACAATAAAAAAAATCCTTCCAACAATGAATCTTGCCTTTCCAATAAACCTCACCAGCCACCAAGACAACAACACTGAGCATAACAGCAACAGCTTCGCCACTTACATCCCTGAGCCTGGGCCTCCGGGCGGATCCCAGGAAGACTTCCTGAGGGAGGTCGTAGCACTTGCACACGCAGCAGGAGGGGAACCGGAACCAGTCACTGCGGGGGGGAGGGAGGCTCGTTATGCAAAATGTAAAATGTATTCATAAATGGGTAGGCCGATATACAAAATACAAACACACATAACAATATCTATCTAGCTGTCTATCTGTTTATCTATATCTATTTGTCTGTCTGCCTGTCTGTTAATCTATCTGTCAGCCTGTCTATTTATTTATCTATCTATCTGTCTATCTATCTGTCTGTCTATCTATCTACCTACCTATCTATCTCTCTCTCTATATATATATACATAAAAAGCACCGATAACCAATCTCCAAATGCAGAATACAATATATCGTGGCCATTGAACGGTTTTTTTTCCCCTCACAGGGCTTTTTCAAGGAACTTCGAAAGTGTGACTCCCTCGGAAACTCGCCTGAAAATGCCTCGGCACTCGTTGTTGGGGTCGAAGGCGAGGAGCTTGTGGAGGCGGTACTGCTGCTCACAACGGCACCCTTCGCGGCAGTACATCTGACGGTGCTCGTTCCTGCAGGAGGAGGAGGAGGAGGAGGGGGTGAGTGGAGGTGAGTGGAGGTGAATGGGGCCTCGGTGTTTCATTTGTCTTCCTTTTTCTTTTCTTTTTTTCTTTTTTTTTCTGTTTCTCTATCTTTCCTCGTTCTCGCTCTCGCTCTCTCTCTCTCGTCCACCAATCAGCATATACAACAAAACATAAACCATCCCCCAATAAAGGAAAAAAAAATCATATAAAATTGATATCCCAAATCACTTCTAAATAAAAGACCGAAGAGAGAAAAAGCTTACTTGCAACGCTCCCAATGCACGTATTGCTCGAACGGGTAGAAGTTGAGAAGGGCGAGCGTCTCTCCCTTCGTGTTGTTCGCCCAATAAGGAGCCACGAACTCCTCCTTCACCGGACATGCGTTCCTGAAGATGGGACAGAGAGGGTTGGATGTCATGTGTGGTATTGAACACTTTCAAAAAGTGCGATCTGAAGGGATATAAGGAGAATTCACCTTCATTTTTTTTAATAGAGTAAGACAGTGGAGTTGAAAACTATAGGTTCTGATGCCCTATTTATTGTGAATATGAAAGCTTTCTCATATGGTTTATTTTTCAGCTTTCCGTTGTATGTATTTTCTATTTCAATATCTTTTCCCTGAGGAGAAGAAAATACATGTCATCTTATAATCTTACATCAGCACACTACCTACATACATAGATTTCTCCCTATATTCAAAATATCAAAGTATCCGGCTCCTAAATCAAGTGTCTGAGTACGCAGGTGCATATATAACGAGGCCAAGACCGTGGCACTGTGCACTTACATTCCTCTGAAGGGCGGCTTCCTGACCTCCATGGCCTCTGGCTGCGTCGGCCTCCCACTGCCCTGAGGCGGCGCCGGGGTCCTGCCGTCCATCGCGGGCCCGTCTCCTACCTCCGGGCCCTCGTCCACCTGCTCCCTGTTCTCGGGCTCCAACTCCGACGTCGTGATCACTTCGTCGTCCAGAACCACGAGGATTTTGTCATCGATTTTCGTTTCTTCTTCCACCTCTCCTTCCGCCTGTTCTTCTCCCTCTCTTTCTAGTTCCCCTATTTCTTCTTCGGCCAATTCGGCTGCCACGTTTCTGTCTTCGCTCAGCGCTTCCTCGATCCCAAGGTCGATCTCGTCCTTCTCGTAGCTGGAGCCCTCCGCGTCGTCCTTGGCAGCATGGTCGATCCTCTCGCTCAGCGTCAGGGTCGTGAGGTCGTCCTCGTCAAGCGGCGCCGAAATGAAGTCGTCCTCGAGCAGTTCGTCGAGAGGGAGGTCCGAGCGGATGGTCGAGGGCGCTTGCGTCGTCTGGAATTCAAAATGTAGTCATTCTCCTATCTTCATATGTATGTGTGAATACATATATTTTTTTACTCTTTTTTTTTTCTCTTTTATTTACTATTTTATTTTGCTTATACAATTCTCTTTTCCTCCTCCTGCTCTTTCTTTTTACCTAAAAACGTCAATGTTTACTACAATCAAATGTTTATTCAAATCAGAATGACCGAGAAGGTGGCTATTAAAAACCAAGACCCGCGTGCACGTCCACCCACCTCATCCAGCGACGCGTAAGTGCTGTCAACCTCCGACCCGGAAACAGGCGTGGAGTAGGAGGAAGAGGAAGAAGAGTACGAGGAGGAGGCCGAGGCGTCGGTGGCTGCTTCAGCCAGCGTCGTGGCCCACAGCTCCTCCTCCAGCTGGTCCCTGAACTCGGGCGGGATCAAAGTGGCCTCGAGAGCTTCGTCCAAGGGCGTCCCTGGCTCCCACGGGCCTCCTGCGGGAAAGACATGGCTCTGAAGTACTTTCGGATGCGTTTGAGCCGTGAAGCTTCGGTTCAGAGTTCACGGCGACAAAGTGTAGAAAAGGTGTGCGTGAACATGAAAATTCCCGCGATGCATCTGTACCTGACGTATTAATTTTGGTACTAATTACTAATTAATTACCAATCATTAACTGCTTATTAATCAATTTGCTATTGGTATTTCGTACTGCGGATTCATTAGTCTACTCACACCTTTTCTACATCTGAAGGGGCAGGACTTGAGTTTAAATTTACGTTTTAGATTCAGATACTAGGTTATACAAAATTGAAGTTACCAATATCTTTCATTCAATTTTAAGCGCTGTCTAAAATTAGGTGCCAATTAGATTCCAATGCTTATTATGTTAAAGATTTTGCTTTTGAAAATATAAATCATGAATCAGATATTTAGTACCATAAAGAGTGTAAATATTATTTTCCTAATATAATCGTTTTATTCTCCATGTTATTGGAGACACACACATACAGACAGACACACACACACACACACACACAAATATATATATATATATATATATATATATATATATATATATATATATATATATATATATATATACACACATATATATATATACATATATATATATATATACATATATATATGTGTGTATATATATATATACATACATATATATATATATATATATATATATATATATATATATATATATATATATTTGTGTGTGTGTGTGTGTGTCTGTATGTGTGTGTATATATATGTATATATACATACATATATACGTGTATATATGTATATACAAGCATATATATATATATATATATATATATATAT